ACTGCACTCCAGTCTGGGTGACAGAGCAAGACTCCGTCTCCAAAACAAACAAACAAATAATATATATACACACACAAAAAAAAATGGCCATGAAGCACTTGAAAAGATGCTCAACCTCATTAGTCACTGGGGAAATGCAAATCAAAACCACAGTAAGATACCATTCCATATCCATTAGGATGGCCATGATAATAAATAAATAAAAATAGCAAGTGTTAAGGATGAGGAGAAATTCACTGCTGTTGGAAATGTAAAACAGTCACTGTTAGAAAAAGTCCAGCAGTTCCTCAACAAGTTCCACACAGAGTTACCATATGACTCCATGGATATGTTATATACCCAGAAGAAGTGAAAACAGGTGTTCAAATAACAGCTTGTATGTAAATGTTCACAGCAGCACTATTCACAATATACAAAAGACGCCAGGCATGGTGGCTCATGCCTATTCGAGACCAGCCTGGCCAATATGGTGAAACCCCATCTCTACTGAAAATACAAAGTACTGGCTGGGCATGGCGGCTCATGCCTATAATCCCAGCACTTTGGGAGACTGAGGTGGGCAGACTGCTGGAGGCCAGGAGTTCGACACCAGCCTGGCCAATATGGTGAAACCCCATCTCTACTGAAAATACACAAAGTCCCGGCTGAGCATGGTGGCTCACGCCTATAATCCCAGCACTTTGGGAGGCTGAGGCGGGTGGATCACCTGAGGCCCTGAGTTGGAGACCAACCTGGCCAACACGGTTAAACCCCGTCTCTACTAAAAATACAAAAATTAGCCGGGCGCGGTGGCTCAAGCCTGTAATCCCAGCACTTTGGGAGGCCGAGACGGGTGGATCACGAGGTCAGGAGATCGAGACCATCCTGGCTAACACGGTGAAACCCCGTCTCTACTAAAAAATACAAAAAACTAGCCGGGCGCGGTGGTGGGCGCCTGTAGTCCCAACTACTCGGGAGGCTGAGGCAGGAGAATGGCGTGAACCCGGGAGGCGGAGCTTGCAGTGAGCTGAGATCCGGCCACTGCACTCCAGCCTGGGCGGCAGAGCGAGACTCCGTCTCAAAAAAAAAAAAAAAATACAAAAATTAGCTAGGCATGGCAGGTGCCTGTATTCAAGGAGAATAGCTTGAACCCAGGAGGCAGAGGTTGCAGTGAGCTGAGATCAGGTCAGTGCACTCCAGCCTGGGTGACAGAGTGAGATTCCATCTCAAAAATAAATAAATAAATAAATAAATAAATAAATAAATAAATAAATAAATATTTTTTAAAATGCAAAAATTAGGGGGGTGTGGTGGTGCATGCCTGTAGTCCCAGCTACTTAGGAAGCTGAGGCAGGGGAATCAAACCCGGGAGGTGGAGGTTGCAGTGAGCTGAGACTGTACACTGCACTCCAGCCTGGGCAACAGAGCGAGACTCCGTCTCAAACAAACAAACAAACAAACAAACACACACACACAATATATACAAGGTAGAAATAAACCAAGTGTCCTCAGCAGGTGCATGGATGAACCAAATGCAGTGTGATTTTGCCATTAAAATGAATGAAACTCTGGGGCCAAGCGTGGTGGCTTATGCGTGTCATCCCAGCACTTTGGGAGGCCGAGGCGGGCGGATCACCTGAGGGCAGGAGTTTGAGACCAGCCTGACCAACATGGCGAAACCCCGCCTCTATGAAAAATACAAAATTAGCTGGGTGTGGTGGCACATGCCTATAATCCCAGCAACTCCAGAGGCCGAGGCAGGAGAATTGCTTGAACCCAGGAGGCGGAAGTTGCAGTGGGCCGAGATCGCGCCATTGCACTCCAGTCTGGGCAACAAGAGTGAAACTCCATCTCAAAAAAAATAAATAAAAATAAAAAAAAAATAAACACTGGCCAGCAAGTAAATCCAAAATAAAAAATAAAAATAATATAGTAGCTGACAGGAGTTCCCGGACGAGTCATTGTCCTCATCCATGGCAAAAAAAAAAAAAAAAAAAAAAAAATAGTGACAGGGTCCTGCTATGTTTCCCAGGCTGGTCTCAAACTCCTGGCCTCAAACCATCCTCCTGCCTCATCCTCTCAAGTAGCCGAGACCACAGGCATGCACCACCATGCCCAGCTTTTATGATTTTATTTGTATGAAATACCCAGAATAGGCAGATCCACAGAGACAGAAAGCAAATTCATTGTTACTCAGAAGCTGAAGGGATTGGGGAAGGGGAAGTAAATGCTTTTTGGATTTGAGGTTTTCCATCTGGGGAGTGAAAAGTTCTGGAACTAAACAGTGGTGATGGTTGTACAATTCCGTGACTGTTTACAATGGCTGGAATGGTAAGTTTCATGTGTTGCGTATTTTCCTGCAATAAAAACAAAAACAAAAAACAAAAAACAAAAAAAAAACTCAGCAGTAGAGAACAATTTAAAAACAGGCAAGAGACGTGAAGATACATTTAACCCACGACAACGTGCAAATGGAAACAAGCACCTGGAAAGAGGTTCCGAATCACCCACCACTGGGGAAATGCAACTAAAACCACAAGGAGGTGTTGTGGCAGAGAGAATGGCTGAAGGTTAAAAATAGCAACTGCTGCAAGGTTGACAGTGTGCAGAGAAAGTGAGGCCACCAGGTGCAGTGGCTCACGCCTGTAATTCCCAGTGCTTTGGAAGGCCGAGGCAGGTGGATCACTTGAGGTCAGGAGTTTGAGACCAGCCTGGGCAACGTGGTGAAACCTTGTCTCTACTAAAAATATAAAAATTAGCCAGTCATGGTGGCAGGCGCCTGTAATCCCAGCTACTTGGAGGGCCGAGGCACGAGAATTGCTTGAAACCGGGAGGCAGAGGTTGCAGGTTGCAGTGAGCGGAGATGGCCCCACGGCACTCCAGCCTGGGTGACAGAATAAAACTCCATCTAAAAAAGAAAAGGAAGGAAGGGAGGGAGGGAGGGAGGGAGGAAGGAAGGAAAGAAGGAAGGAAGGAAGGACCCACGTGGCTGGCGGGGCTGTGATGCAAATGCTGGGGTAAATAGTGTGGCCGATTTAACAGACGGATACAGTGCATGGCTCGAAACCACAGCAGAACATCAAGGGCTTGACGGTCATTTCTCCGTCCTCTCCATGAGGTATAAATGGCTCACAGACACCCGAGAAGGTGCTGGTCATTAGGGAGACACAAATAAAAACCGCAGCCAGACACCACATTGCACCCACCAGCATCGTTAGTACACAACAAACAAAAAGCCAGAAAGTAGCAAGTGTCGGCGAGGACAAGAGCCGTGTCCCTGCTGTGCTGCTGGGGGACGTGTCCGTCTGAGATGCTGCTGTGGAAAACAGTTTGGTTGTTTTCCTCAGAACAATTAACACATCATTACTCTGTCACCCAGCAAGTCCCTCATAACTATACACCCAGAACGCTTGAAAACGGGATTGGGAAGGGCCCTTTGCACACCCGCGTTCACAGCAGCGTTATTCGCCCTCGCCCCAAAGGGGAGGCAGCCCAGGTGTCCATGAAGAGGCCCACAGATGAACGGACGCGGTCGACGCGGTCCCTGCACACAACGGGACACGGTTCCCCCTAAAGGGAAGGAGATTCCCACACAGGCCAGGCTGCGGCGGGGAAGGCGGAGGACGCTGAGCTGAGAAACCAGCAGGTCTCCAAAGGACAAATCCCGTGAGGCTCCCCCTGCGCGCAGTCCCTGCAGGCCCTGAATCCACAGACAGAAAGTGGACGGGGCGCCAGGCTGGGGAGGGGAGGGGGCGTTTGATGGGGACAGAGCTTCATTTTGGGAGGACGGGAGAGTCTGAGAACGGATTTTGGGAGGACAGGAGCATCTGAGAAAGGATTTTGGGAGGACAAGGGAGCCTGAGAACGGATTTTGGGAGGATGGAAGAGCCTGAGAATGGATTTTGGGAGGATGGGGAGTCTGAGAATGATTTTGGGAGGATGGGAGAGTCTGAGAACGGATTTTGGGAGGGGGGAGGGATTTGGGAGAAGAGCTGAGAACGGATTTGGGGGGGGAGTCTGAGAACGGATTTTGGGAGGGGAGCGAGATGATTTGGAGGATGGAGTCTGAGAACGGATTTTGGGAGGACAGGAGCGTCTGAGAAGGGATTTTGGGAGGACGAGAGAGCCTGAGAACGGATTTTGGGAGGATGGGGAGTCTGAGAACGGATTTTGGGAGGATGGGGAGTCTGAGAAGGATTTTGGGAGGACGAGAGAGCCTGAGAACGGATTTTGGGAGGATGGGGAGTCTGAGAACGGATTTTGGGAGGATGGGGAGTCTGAGAATGATTTTGGGAGGATGGGAGAGTCTGAGAACGGATTTTGGGAGGACAGGAGCCTCTGAGAAGGGATTTTGGGAGGACGAGAGAGCCTGAGAACGGATTTTGGGAGGATGGGGAGTCTGAGAATGATTTTGGGAGGATGGGAGAGTCTGAGAACGGATTTTGGGAGGATGGGGAGTCTGAGAACGGATTTTGGGAGGACAGGAGCGTCTGAGAAGGGATTTTGGGAGGACGAGAGAGCCTGAGAACGGATTTTGGGAGGATGGGAGAGTCTGAGAACGGATGGTGGGGACGGATGCACGGAAATGTCAGCGAACCCAATGATCCTGAACCCTGCACTTCAAAGCGGATAAAATGGCAACACCGGCCCCCACAAAAAAGTCACGCCGCTCAGGCCTTCCCGACGAACTCGCCCCAGCCGGGTGCTCCAGGGGCCTCCGGAGCTCCTGCCGCCGCCCCTTCCCCGGGGTCCTCCAGTCCCCCCAAATCCTCCCCCAAGTCCCACGGCCCCTCCGTCCCCGCGCCCCGCAGGCTCCGAGGCTTCGCGGTGCGGTTCCCTCTGCGGGTCCCGGGCCCGGGTCCCCTTCGCCCCCCAGGCCGGGACGTCCCCCTCCCCCAGCCGGCCGAGGGGCGCCAGCGCGGCGGAGGGGGCGGGAGGCCGGGCCGGGGCGACAGCTGGGGGGGCGGCCCTGACCTTCCCGGGATCGCTGGGCGCGGCCGGGCCGTCCCCCTTCCGGGCGCCGCCATAAAGGGGCCTCGCGGGGCTCTGGCCGTGGCCGCAGCGCTCAGCTCCCGCGCCCGACCCCGCCATGGCCCCCCGGCCCCTCCTGCTGCTGCTGCTGCTCCTCGGGGGCTCCGCCGCGCGCCCCGCGCCCCCCAGGTGAGCCGCCCGCCAGGCCCGTCCGCCCCCGGCCGCACCCGCCCCCCGCGCAGCCCTGACCCCGACCCCCGCCCGCCCCCAGGGCCCGGCGACACTCGGACGGGACGTTCACCAGCGAGCTCAGCCGCCTGCGGGAGGGCGCGCGGCTCCAGCGGCTGCTGCAGGGCCTGGTGGGGAAGCGCAGGTGAGGCCGGGTGGGGCGGGGGTCTTGCCGTGGTGCCCTGGCAGCAACGCGCGACCCCCCACCTCCAGGACTAACTCTGTTTTGGGGCGGGGGACAGCGAGCAGGACGCAGAGAACAGCACGGCCTGGTCCAGGCTCGGCGCGGGTCTGCTCTGCCCGTCCGGGTCCGACACGCCCACCCTGCAGGCCTGGTGAGCGCCCGCCCCACCGCAGACCCCACCCCAGACCCCACCCCAGACCCTTCCTTCTGTCCGTGGCCTCCCTGGGTCAGCGCTGGTGGCCACCGGAGGCCCAATTCCAGGGGCGGGGCCGGGGTCTCCAGCCCCAGCCCCAGCCCCCAACCCCGCACGTGCTGTCTCTGCAGGATGCCCCTGGGCGGGGCCTGGTCTCCCTGGCTGCCCCCTGGGCCCAGGCCTGGGGTTATGGTTTCAGAACCTGCCGGTGCTGCTGCAGAAGGAACCCTGCGACCGAGATGAGGAAGGAACCCCCTCACCACCTGCCCAGCCTAGGAGCGGAGCTGCATTTGGGGTGGTGGGCAGGCTGGGGGGAGAGGGGGAGGGGTGGAACTCGGCACCAATAAAGGAGAATCAGATCCAGACACTGGGAGTTGGTTGTGTCCACTTGGTGTAATCGAGGCAACCGCTGTGTAGCAGGGCTGTCAGATGGAAGGGGGCCCCATCCACCCAGCCGGGACTGTGACCACACCCAGCTGCCCTTTACACCTGGCGGCCACAGCGGGCCCCTCATCCTTATCTCTGGCATCAGTGCCGCCTCCTGTACCTCGACTAAGCACCGCAGGGCCCCGCCCCCCCCTTGTCTTCATTAGGAAACAGTCAAGGGCTCAGGGGGAGCCCGGACAGACTCTCAGCTCCTGCAGGGGGGTGGGGGGTGGCGTGTGGTCAGTGTTTCCGGAAGGGGCAGTGGGGAGGGTGTGGAGGGGCCAGGGAGGCTCAGGCGGGCAGGAAGAGGGGAGGGCAGAGGTGTCACCTGGGGTGCCAGGAGTCCACTCTGGCATGAGGACTCCGGACCCTCTGTCTTGTGTGGCCTCAGACCAGTGGCTTGACCCCTCAGAGCCTGTGGCGTATGGAGCGTGCAGGGCTTGCAGGCGACCATGAGGGTACAGTGCAGGGTTGGGACACTGAGCCCAGCCCCAGCCACGAGAGGCCAGAAGCTTCGGTGCACAGGCCTGGAGAGGAATGACTCCACTCCCCGCCTCACGACAGCCCCTTCCTCGCCCTGACCCCAGCCAGTGGCCTCTCCCTAGAGCTGGGGGCTTGCGGGGGCCAAAGAGCAGGGCAAGTGTCAAGACTCACCTCACCCCCTCCGTTGGGCACCAGGGCTCCCCAGGAGCTCCCAGCTGCCCCCCACAGCCCCGCCTTAGCCTTGGTCACTAAGGCCCTGTCCAGCCCCACCCTGAGAAGCTGGCTTGTCTCTGGGGCAGGCAGGCAGGGGTGTCCCTAGGACACAGTGAGGAGAGTCTCTTCCTGCAGAACCTGCCATCAGGCAGGCAGGGAGGTACTCCCGGGCGAACACCCAGGTTCTGAGCCTCAAGGGTTGGCCTTAGGAATTTTGCCTGAGGTAGAGCTTAGGGGAGGAGCCAAGCAAGGGCAGCCTGGGCTAGGGAGGCAGGTTTCAGACACCCCAACACCAACGGCTTCTCTCCAACACCCTAGCTCTGCCCCTGCCCTGCCCCAGCCCCATGGCGCCCGTGAGCCATTCTCTAGTCCTTTCTGCCCTGTGCCTCGGTGCCTGTGGCCTGAGCCCCCTGGTTAATCCCTGTACTCAGTCTAACTTGGGCCAAATGACTGCCCCCCTTCTGGCAGTGGGCCGGACCCGCCGGCCAGCGGGAGCCCCCTTGGCAGAGGCCGGTTGTAAAGGATCATAAAGTGGGCGGCGTCTGGCTGGGGCGAAGGTCGCTGAGGTAGGAACTGCGCCAGTCCTGGACGCCAAACCCACTCGGACCCTCCCGCCAGGTGACAGCCGCCAAGATGGGGTCTTGGGCCCTGCTGTGGCCTCCCCTGCTGCTCACGGGGCTGCTTGGCCGACCCCCGGGGACCGTGGCCCAGGTCCAGTGTACGTGCGGGCAGGGGTAGGTAGGTGGGGGCACAGGGCAGGGGGAGCCAGGGGCTGGGAGGCGCTGACCCCTCCTCTGCAACCTTACAGACTGCTCTGTGAACAAGTCCTTCTTTGAAGTCGAGGAGAACACAAATGTCACCGAGCCGCTGGTGGACATCCATGTCCCAGAGGGCCAGGAGGTGACCCTCGGACCCTTGTCCACCCCCTTCGCATTTCGGATCCAGGGAAACCAGCTGTTTCTCAACGTGTCTCCTGATTACGAGGTGTGGGCGGCAGGTGGGTGGGGAGTGGGGGCTCCCAGGAGAAGGGCGCCTGGATCCTCAGGCCACACCTTCCCCGGGGGGCCCAGGAGTTCTATGCCTGCAGGCATCCACTAACACCCATGCTTGGTGGTGCCTGCCCCAGAAGGCTGGGCCCACACCCTCAGCATTGACCACTGATGATGGGGACCCTGGGCCAGCGCCTGCCCCCTTGGCCTCAGTCTCACCACCTGTGGGGCGGGACAGTGACTGCAGACCCGTCTGCCTCCACAGGAGAACTCACTACTTGAGGCTCAGCTGCTGTGTCAGAGCGGAGGCACACCGGTGAGTCCCTGCCCCACTCTCCCCGCCCACCAGGCCACCTCAGCTGGGCTCTGCCCTGCCGGTCCAGGGCCAGTCTCTGATGACCTCACCTAGGGTGTGGTTTCACATGCCATCCTTCCGAGAGTGATGCTCACATTTCCTCCAGTCCAGACTCTGCCCTGAACTGTGGCATCCCCGTCACTGATCCCTTGTCCAGCAGATACCCCCACCCAGTGTGCCCGACTCCCACCCACTCCCTCAACCACCACTGCCCCCACAAGGGAGGCACCTTTATCCTGCCAGCCACTGGAACCACTTTGGTTTCCACTCGCCCTCCCTCCCCACGTCCCCCCCTAAGCTCCCCATTGGTAAATCACTTGGCTCTGCCCCAGCTCGACCCAGAAATCCATCGTCTGCCCACCTCCAGTCCCACCAGGGCCGGGACACCAGCACTCATTTTGGGAAACTTTCAGCCGGCCCGCTGGCTTCCCTGTTGCCCCTTGCCGGTCCCAGTCCACTCCATGTGGCGGAACAGCCTCTGTGGACGCTGTAAACCAAGGCTGCCCAGTCCACCCCAGCCCTCCACAGCTCCTTTCTCACTGAGAGTCAAACCCAGATGTACTGTGCGGAGGCTCTGCTGCAGCCTCAGAGCTCCCGCAGGCACACTCCTCCCCCACCTGCTCAGGTCTGCAGTCTTCAGAGAAATCCCAACCGCCCTATTAGGGAATAGTTGCATCCCAGCCCCGCTCCCCCAACATCCTACTTCTTGACCAGCGGCATTTTTTCCGGCTTTATTAAGGAAAATTGCAGAATCCTGAGGCCAGCACAGGCCCCCGCCCCCCCCCCCACCTACCAGCAGACAAAGGGCTCTGTGCCCACCGCACACCACAGCACATCACCCACATATATCTTGGCATGTGTCTCTGAAAGAGAGGGATGCTTCTTTTTTTTGAGACAGAGTCTCGCTCTGTTACCTAGGTTGGAGTGCAATGGCGAGATCTCGGCTCACTGCAACCTCCGCCTCCCGGGTTCAAGTGATTCTCCTGCCTCAGCCTCCCGAGTAGCTGGGATTACAGGCGCCCACCACCACGCTTGGCTAATTTTTGTATTTTTGGTAGAGACAGGATTTCACCATGTTGGTCAGGCTGATCTCAAACTCCTGACCTGGTGATCCGCCCGCCCCAGCCTCCCAAAGTGCTGGGATTTCAGGCATGAGTCACTGTGCCTGGCCGGGATCCTTCTTTTTTTTTTTTTTTGTTTTGTTTTGTTTTGTTTTTTTAGATGGAGTCACCCTCTGTCGCCCGGGCTGGAATGCAGTGGCACGATTTCCGCTCACTACAACCTCTGCCTCCCAGGTTCAAACGATTCTCCTGCCTTGGCCTCCACCCACCTCGGCCTCCCAAAGTGCTGGGATTACAGATGCCTGCCACCACACCCAGCTAATTTTTGTATTTTTAGTAGAGACGGGGTTTCACCATGTTGGCCACATTGGTCTCGAACTCTTGACCTCAGGTGATCTGCCCGCCTCGGCCTCCCAAAGTGCTGGGATTCCAGGCGTGAACCACCACGCCCGCAAGGACTCTTCTTTTTAAAACATAACCACAATGTCGTCACACCTGGGAAAAGTGGTCACTTTCTACCTCGAATGTTCAGGATGCCGCATTCCCCATGGTCTCTGAAGGGTTTTTTTTAACAATTGTTTGTTTGAATCAGGGTCCACGTTATGCACCTAGCTGATAATTCTCCTGAGTTTCTGTTCATCTTCACGTTTCCTTCTCCCATCTTTTCTCTTGGAGATTTATTTGTGAAGAAACTGGGTTGTCGGCTGGGCATGGTGGCTCACACCTGTAATCCCAGCACTTTGGGAGGCCGAGGCAGGCACATCACCTGAGGTCGGGAGTTTGAGACCAGCTTGACCAACATGGAGAGACCCCGTCTCTTCTAAAAATAAAAAATTACCCGGGTGTGATGGCGGGCGCCTGTAATCCCAGCTACTCGAGAGGCAGAGGCAGGAGAATCGCTTAAACCTGGGAGGCAGATGTTGCAGTGAGCCAAGATCACGCCACTGCACTCCAGCCTGGGTGACAGAATGAGACTCTGTATCCAAAAAGAAAACAAAGAAAAGAACTGGATTGTCTTTCCTCACTTGAGATTCTGCTGGTTGCATCCCCAAGTACCTGCATTATTTTTCTGTGGCGCACCTGCCACCTCCTGGCTTTATAAAGTCCTTTTGTCTGTTGTTGTAAGTCCTGCCAGGACAGGCACCACCGGGCAGAGATTTGTCTCTTGTGATCTCTGCATCCCAGCACCTAGAGCTGTGCAGCCCCCCTGCAGCCCCCCAACACCACTGAGCGAGTGGACGGATAGCCGTCAAGGGGTGCACCTCACTCACGATGGGGAAGGATAGCGTCGAGGGGTACACCTCACTTATGATGGGGAGCTGCTGTGGGAGAGGCTGACGGCCACATCCTGCAGGTGACCCAGCTGAGGGTGTTCGTGTCAGTGCTGGACGTCAATGACAACGCCCCCGAATTCCCCTTTACAACCAAGGAGATAAGGGTGGAAGAGGTGAGGCCAGCGAAGCTGCCAGGGCTGGGCAGGGGGTGCGGGAGCCCAGGGTGAGGGCAAGGGGCGAGTGGTGGCCGGGGGCTCAACCACAGCGGGGGTCCACAAGGGCCAAGAGTGTGGCCAGACCAAGCCCCTCTCCCTCCCTAGGACACTAAAGTAAACTCCACCGTCATCCCTGAGACAGAACTGCAGGCCAAGGACAAAGACAAGGATGACATTCTGTTCTACACCCTCCAGGAAGCGACCGCAGTCAGTGCCGCCTGCCCTGCCCCAGCGTGAGCCCCTCACCACTGACACCCGCAGCCGCCCTCGCCCTCCCAGGCTCTTAGGCTGTGTCCTCCCTGATCCTCCCCAGGGTGCCAGTGACTACTTCTCCCTGGTGGGTGTAAACCATCCCGCCCTGAGGCTGGACCGGCCCCTGGACTTCTACGAGCGGCCCAACATGGCCTTCCGGCTGCTGGTGCGGGTGAGCGGCTCACCCCAGCCCTGAGTCCCACATGCTTGAGGTCCCCCTGGCCCCAGCTGCTCCCAGGCCTGATCTGGCTGTTGCAGGACACTCCGGAGGAGAATGTGGAGCCCAGCCACACGGCCACCGCCACGCTGGTGCTGAACGTGGTGCCTGCCGACCTGCGGCCCCCCTGGTTCCTGCCCTGCACCTTCTCAGACGGCTACGTCTGCATCCAAGCTCAGTACCACGGGGCTGTCCCCACGGGGCACACACTGGTAATGGGGAGGGAGGGGCAGTGCCCGGGGCGGGGCCTTCTAGGCAGGTTGGAGGCAGGGACGGCCAGGATCAGAAGAAGGGCAGGGTCAGGGTCAGCGGGTGGGGCCAAGTTTGGTTGTGACTTTGAAACAAATACAGACTCTCCTGATAAACCAATCTTTCCCATCTTGAGGGAGCAAACCCTGAACACACAGAGAGGAGTGTGGGCCCCAGAGCCAGGCGGTCTCAGGGGCCTGGGGAGGTGGGCTGGGGCCCTGGAGTTCTTAAGGGATGGTGAGATCTCTGCCCTGCTCACAGTCACCACTAGGCCCACACAGGCTGTCTGCAAACCTTCACAGCACCAAGGCACCCGGGGCCACCAAACAGCACATGAGAGGCAGAAACGCAGACCCCGGGAACCCCCCGCTTCCTAAATGTCTGCTTAGCCGTCAAGACAAGCATCGTGCAAATGGCACTCAGTATCTTTGGGCAACTTATTCGTTAGTGAGGGACCCACAGGGGTGTGACTCACTGTGATACTGGGACAAGGGACAGTCCTAGACAGGCAGGGATGCCCGGCCACCAGCGGGACTGGGCCCCTCCTCAGCCAGCCCTGCCCTGGCTGACCTTGATGGGGAGCCAGAGGGGCCAGGTTGGGGCCATCCACCCCAGCCTCACGACGTGCCCTCCTCTCCACCATCCTTGAAGCCATCCCCCCTCGTCCTGCATCCCGGACCCATCTACGCCGAGGACGGAGACCGCGGCATCAACCAAGCCATCATCTACAGCATCTTCAGTGGTGAGTGGGGCCCAGCCCTCAACAATGCCCCAGACCCCTCTCTGTCCCTGTCTCTGTCCCCACCTTGGGCTGGGGAAGCCCCAGGGGCACCTGCCAGCAAGGCAGAGCTGGCTGGGTCCCTGGGCCTCAGGAGGCCGGGACTGAGCACTTCCATCGTCCTCCCAGGAAATGTGAACGGTACATTTGTCATCCACCGAGACTCCGGCAACCTCACCATGGCCAGGAGTGTCCCCAGAGCCATGACCTTTCTTCTGCTGGTGAAGGTGAGGTAGGGACCTGCACGGGGGGCAGGGCAGTGGGGGCAGGGTGGAAGGTAGGGCGGGGGTCAGGGCGGGGGGGCAGGGCCCCTGCCAAGTCTGCATCTATTCTTCCTGAGCCCCAGGCTTCAGCACCAGCTCCACCGTCAACCCCACGAGTCACGGCTGCCTCCCCCGCCTCCAGGGCCAGCAGGCCGACCTTGCCCGCTACTCAGTGACCCAGGTCACCGTGGAGGCTGTGGCTGCAGCTGGGAGCCCGCCCCGCTTCCCCCAGAGCCTGTACCGTGGCACCGTGGCACTTGGCGCTGGAGCAGGTGTTGTGGTCAAGGATGCAGCTGCCCCCTCTCAGCCTCTGAGGGTCCAGGCTCGGGACCCGGAGTTCTCGGTAGGTAGCACACGCAAGGCTGATGCCTGCTGCCCCCACGGCAGCCTTCCTGTTGCCCAGGGTCCCTGGGTCCACCCGGCCTCCCCTCTGTGGGTGGGTCAGGGCTGCAGATGGGAGGCAGCCTGGCCGGGGACTCAATGAAACCCTGTCCAGGACCTCAACTCGGCCATCACGTATCGAATTACCAACCACTCACATTTCCGGATGGAGGGAGAGGTTGTGCTGACCACCACCACACTGACCCAGGCGGGGGCCTTCTACGCAGAGGTGAAGGGCAGGGCAGGTGGGCATCTCCAAGGGTGTGGGGCTTAAAGACGTGCCCAGGAGAGACAAGCCCCTTCCTGCCCCAGGTTGAGGCCAAAAATACAGTGACCTCTGGCACTGCGACCACAGTCATTGAGATACAAGTTTCCGAACAGGAGCCCCCCTCCACAGGTGAGCCCCCATCCCCAGAGACTGGAGGAACAACTGGGCCCTGGACCAGCACCACTTCCGAGGCCCCCAGACCCCCTGTGCCCTCCCAGGGACCCTCCACAACCAGCTCTGGGGGAGGTACAGGCCCTCATCCACCCTCTGGCACAACTCTGAGGCCACCAACCTCGTCCACACCCGGGAGGCCCCCCGGTGTGGGAACCAGCACCTCCCACCAACCAGCCACACCCGGTGGCGGCACAGCACAGACCCCAGAGCCAGGAACCTCTCAGCCGATGCCCCCCGGTGTGGGAACCAGCACGTCCCACCAACCAGCCACACCCGGTGGTGGCACAGCTCAGACCCCAGAGCCAGGAACCTCTCTGCCGATGCCCCCCGGTGTGGGAACCAGCACATCCCACCAACCAGCCACACCCGGTGGTGGCACAGCTCAGACCCCAGAGCCAGGAACCTCTCAGCCGATGCCCCCCGGTGTGGGAACCAGCACGTCCCACCAACCAGCCACACCCGGTGGCGGCACAGCTCAGACCCCAGAGCCAGGAACCTCTCAGCCGATGCCCCCCGGTGTGGGAACCAGCACGTCCCACCAACCAGCCACACCCGGTGGTGGCACAGCTCAGACCCCAGAGCCAGGAACCTCTCAGCCGATGCCCCCCGGTGTGGGAACCAGCACCTCCCACCAACCAGCCACACCCGGTGGCGGCACAGCTCAGACCCCAGAGCCAGGAACCTCTCAGCCGATGCCCCCCGGCAGGAACACCCCATCCTCAGGTAGCACCCACTCCGTTGCCTTCCCTCCCTGGCTCAGATCACTGGGTGGTAGGGAAATGCTGTAGGAAGGGTCCACCCCAGGCTGACCTGGCCTGACTGTGAAATCCCAGAGGGGTCTGTTTGGGACTGACAGACACAGACAGGCCAAAGGCCCTCAGTGAGGTGAACTGTGATGTGTGTAGGACAGAAGCCAGATTTGGGGTCCAACGAATCCCATGATTCCCACAGCTGCCGGCTCACCCTGCAGGCCCCTGCCCCTCCTGTGAGCAGCCTCTTTGTTGGGGGGGGGGGAGCCCAGGGTCTCACTGGGACACACAGGCCCCTCCAGCCAGGGTCAGCAGAGCCTGAGATTTGGGAGACAGCCCAGGCCTGGGTGATTTCCAAGTGTCTCAAGCCTGGCACAGGTTGGCATGGGGAATGCCTGGGGTGCTCAACAGTGCGGGGGTGATGGCATTTTCCACAGCGATGCCAGGTGGCGGCCCCTCGGAGGACAAGCGCTTCTCAGTGGTGGACATGGCAGCCCTGGGTGGGGTGCTGGGTGCACTGCTGCTGCTGGCTCTCCTTGGCCTCACTGTCCTTGTCCACAAGCACTACGGCTCCCGGCTCAAGTGCTGCTCCGGCAAAGCTCCGGTGAGGCCCAGGGTGGAGGGCAGGGCAGGCGACCCGCAGGGAGTGGGGGACAGGAGAGGGGAGGGCAGAGGGGAATATGTGGAGGCGGAGGGGTGTCCACCGTGGAATGAGGGTGTGGAGAGGCCACAAGGCAGCAGAGACCCAGGGACCCCGCTGACGCCTTCACTCCTGCTAGCAGGAACCCCAGCCCTCAGGCTATGACAACCAGGCGTTCCTCCCTGACGACGAGGCCAACTGGGCGCCTGCCCCCAGCCCCACGAGCGACGCCAAGCCCGCGGAGGCACCGCCGACGCCCGCGGAGCCCGCGCCCCCTGGCCCCGCGCCCCCGGGCAGTGCCCCTGAGGCCCCGGCAGCGGCCGTAGCCGGGGGAAGCCCCGCAGCGGTGAGGTCCATCCTGACGAAGGAGCGGCGGCCGGAGGGCGGGTACAAGGCCGTGTGGTTCGGCGAGGACATCGGGGCGGAGGCAGACGTGGTCGTTCTCAACACGCCCACCCTGGACGTGGATGGCGCCAGTGACTCCGGCAGCGGCGACGAGGGCGAGGGCGCGGGGCCTGGCAGGGGTCCCCACGATGAGCCCGGCGGCGATGACTCGTACATCTAAGCGGCCCCTCCACCCTCTTCCCCTGCCGCGCGGGCGCTAGAGGTCCCGCTCCCCTAACCCCCGACCCAAGGCAGAATAAAGCAAGGCTCCCCAAACCCAGGCCGTGGCGTGGGGCGGGCGCGCGGGTCCGTGCGGGCCCCATTTGCTCGCGTCCCCCATCGTCCTCGGCGCTCGAGCCCGGGTGTGCAGACGGGGGTGGCGGGTCCCGCCGCGCTGTCCCCACCCGAAGGCTGCAACGCTTCCCGTAAACCACCTGCTGTGCCCGCCGTCTTCCCGAGGCTCCGCGCCAGCTGGCCCGCGAAGTTCCTCTCCTGCTCTCACCACAGCCGGAGAGGGCACTCCCCTCCCCCAGTCTGCACTGGGGATCTCAGGCACCCGCTCAACTCAGACCTACCACTCCCGACCCGACACAGAGATTGCCTGGGGAGGCTGAAGAGCCAACGCAAATCCCCAAGACGATGCGCTTGGAAGCCAGTGGTCTCAAACATCTGCCGGGCTGGGGGTCCTAGTCCCCTTCTGAAATCTACATGGTTGGGTTGGGGCGCAGCATTAAACACCCACCCAGAGGCCTGGACTGAGGCACGCGGGGGTCGGTGCGCGCGAGTGGCCTGAGCAGGAGCCGGACCAGGAGGCCTAGGGGTGAGAGACACCTCCCGGTCGCTTCTCCCAAGGCCAGAGCCCAGGCTGGCCACCCATGCCCAGAACCATCAAGGGGTCCCTTGTGGGTCGTCAGCACTGTCCCTGATGAAAAGACACTATTAATTCCTTTCCAAATGTTTTAATTGCGAGAGCGTCTGATATTCTTGTCTGAACAATCTAAAGAACCCAAAGGGGGCCGCATGGTGGCTCCCGCCTGTAATCCCAGTACTTTGGGAGGCCAAGGCGGGTGGATCAGCTGAGGTCAGGAGTTCAAGACTAGCTTGACCAACTTAGAGAAACCCCGTCTCTACTAAAAATACAAAATTAGCCGGGCATGGTGGCTCATGCCTGTAATCCCAGCTACTCGGGAGCCTGAAACGGGAGAATCACTTGAACCCATGAGGTGGAGGTTGTGGTGGGCCAAGATTGTGCCACTGCACTCCAGCCTGGGCAACAAAAGCGAAACTCCATCTCAAAAAAAGGAACCCAAACGGTGCAGCTGCCCCTTTTTAGAGGCACATCCACCTCCCCTTACCCACTTCCCTTTTTTGAGACTCAGTCATGCTCTGTCCCCTGGGCTGGAGTGGAGTGGCTCCATCTCAGCTCACTGCAGCCTCGACCTCCTGGGCTCAAGTGATTCTCCCGCCTCAGCCTCCCAAGTACCTGTAACTACAGGCCTGCGCCACCACGCCCGGCTGATTTTTGTATTTTTAGTGGAGACTGGGTTTCGTCACGTTTGCCAGGCTGGTCTCGAACTCCTGACCTCAAGTGATCGGCTGAGGCGGCCGGATCACGAGGTTAGGAGATCGAGACCATCCTGGCTAACACGGTGAAACCCCGTCTCTACTAAAAATACAAAAAATTAGTCGGGCGAGGTGGCGGGCGCCTGTGGTCCCAGCTACTCGGGAGGCTGAGGCAGGAGAATGGCGGGAACCCGGGAGGCGGAGCTTGCAGTGAGCCGACATCCGGCCACTGCACTCCAGCCTGGACGGCAGAGCGAGACTCCACCTCAAAAAAAAAAAAAAAAAAAGAAAGAAAAAAAAAAAGCACAACAAGAAGGGCCTGGTTTTGCCTCGGGTCCGGTTTCGCTTACGTTTGGGGGAGTCCCCGCCTTATCCCACTGTGTCCCCCACCTCCGATGACTGCCGGCGCCCCGGCCCCAGGCGTGTAGGGGCTACTTCCCAGAGAAGCGGCTGGACCCTGCAGGGCCGAGCCACACAGGCAGACAGGGTCCACCGCTGCCCCCTCGCCGCCACTCCCTACTCCGCGCTGCCCCGGACGGGGTTCCGCCGGTCGCATTCGAGAGCAGGAACTGGCCGCGCGCGCCCTTCCCGGAAACGCCCGCCTGGTCACGTGACCTCCTTGGCTGCACCTGCAGCTCTTTGGGCCCCGCCCCCGGCCCGGACACCATAAAAGCGCCGGCCCTCCGCTTCTCCGCGATAAGAAACCTCCCGCCCCGGCGACTGTGGCACCCAGGTACTCGGGACCCCGGACCCACGCGGTGCAGGTCCGGGAGTGAGAGACTCACCGGGAGGGGTAGAGCCAAGGGCTGGGGGAGCCTGATGGATGAGGGTCGGGAGGTGAGGGAGGCGGAGGCGGGGGCGGGGCTCTGCGGCGATGAGAACCGGACGGAGATGGGATCGGGGAGGGTGGAAGCGCCACTGTTTTAAGTTTCGCTTTCTCGGAAGCCTGGCCCGCCCCCGACGTGGCTTTTCCCGTCTCCGCAGGGTCCGGCCTGCACCGGCCCGGCAGGCCTGGACACTGGTTCAACACCTGTGACTTCACGTGTGCGCGCCAGCCATACCTGCAGTCACACCTGTAGCCCCCTCTGCCAAGAGATCCACACCGAGGCAGCGTCGGTGGCTACAAGCCCTCAGTCCACACCTGTGACCCCCACCACCTGTGACACCTGGCCACACCTGTGGACACCTGGCCACACGACCTGTGGCCGCGGCCTGGCGTCTGCAGTGACAGGAGCCCTTACCTCCCCTGTTGTAACACCTGACCGCCACCCAACTGCCCCTGCAGAGGGAGCAATGGCCTTGGCTCCTGAGAGGTAAGAGCCCGGCCCACCTTCTCCAGATGCCCGTCCCCGAGCGCCCTGCAGCCAGCCCTGACTCTCCGCGGCCGGGCACCCGCAGGGCGGCCCCACGCGTGCTGTTCGGAGAGTGGCTCCTTGGAGAGATCAGCAGCGGCTGCTATGAGGGGCTGCAGTGGCTGGACGAGGCCCGCACCTGCTTCCGCGTGCCCTGGAAGCACTTCGCGCGCAAGGACCTGAGCGAGGCTGACGCGCGCATCTTCAAGGTGGGACCCCGGCCCCGTCCCGGGTGGGAGGACCCGCCTAGGACCCCGCGGGCCCAGCCCACGTGTTCTCTCCCCCTCTTCAGGCCTGGGCCGTGGCCCGCGGCAGGTGGCCGCCTAGCAGCAGAGGAGGTGACCCGCCGCCCCCCGAGGCTGAGGCTGCGGAGCGCGCCGGCTGGAAAACCAACTTCCGCTGCGCACTGCGCAGCACGCGCCGCTTCGTGATGCTGCGAGATAACTCGGGGGACCCGGCCGACCCGCACAAGGTGTATGCGCTGAGCCCGGAGCTGGGCTGGCGAGGTGAGCGACGCCGGCTGCCAAGCGCGTTGGCATTCGTCCTGCCTGGGGAAAGAACATTCTCTGGGCCGGGCGTGGTGGCTCACGCCTGTAATCCCAGCACTTTGGGAGGCCGAGGTGGGCGGATCACAAGGTCAGGAGATCGAGACCATGGTGAAACCCCGTCTCTACTAAAAATAGAAAAAATTAGCCGGGCGCAGGGGCGGGCGCCTGTAGTCCCAGCTACTCGGGAGGCTGAGGCAGGAGAATGGCGTGAACCCGGGAGGCGGAGCTTGCAGTGAGCCGAGATTGCGCCACTGCACTCCAGCCTGGGCGACAGAGCAAGACTCCGTCTCAAAAAAAAAAAAAAAAAAAAAAAAAAAAAAAAAAAGAACATTCTCTGGATCAGAATTGGGTTTTTAGCAGCCGTTCTGGGAGAGGCTGCCAGCAGGCCCAGGACAGTTGGAGCCGCATCCCCACCTCCTTAGGCCGCAGCACAAGGAAGCTGGTGCGGGTTACGCCAGGCTCTTGTTGCGTCTCTCACCCTGGTCTCGGAACCTAACACCTGCCCCATTCTCCCTCAGAAGGCCCAGGCACGGACCAGACTGAGGCAGAGGGCCCCGCGGCTGTCCGGCCACCGCAGGTAGTCTTCCCTCTGCCTGCCTCTCCTCCTGCCAGGCCGCGGAGCTGCTTATGCTGACCCTGACTTTTCCTTACAGGGCAGGCCCCCAGGGCCATTCCTGGCACACAGAGATGCTGGACTCCAAGCCCCAGGCCCCTTCCCTGCCCCAGCTGGTGACAAGGGGGACCTCCTGCTCCAGGCAGTGCAACAGAGCTGCCTGGCGGACCATCTGCTGACAGCGTCATGGGGGGCAGACCCAGTCCCAGCCCAGGCTCCTGGAGAGGGACAAGAGGGTCTTCCCCTGACTGGGGCCTGTGCTGGAGGTGTGGGCAGTGCCGTGGAGGGGTGTGTGTGTGGGGGGAAAGCATGGGAGGGGCCAGTGCACCTGGACGGACACTTAAGAAGGGGGCTGGGGATTGGGGAGCTGGAGAAGTAGGAAGGGACCACATTCCCACTGACCTCCCCTCCTCAGGTCCAGGGCTCCCTGCTGGGGAGCTGTGCACATGGGCAGTAGAAGCAACCCCTAGCCCCGGGCCCCAGCCCACGGCGCTAATGACAGGTGAGAGGGGTAGGGGTTGGGGGGCCTGGGGCACAGGGAGGGGCTGGGGATGAGGTACCAGCACAGGATTCCCTTCCCGATGCAGGCGAGGCCACGGCCCCAGAGCCCCCGCACCAGGCAGAGCCATACCTGGCACCCTCCCCAAGTGCCTGCACTGTGGTGCAAGGTGAGTGGGTCCTGGGAAGGGGACAGCCTGTCCCTGCCCACCTCTGCCGCTCACAGCTTGGTCTCCACACAGAGCCCAGCCCAGGGGCGCTGGACGTGACCATCATGTACAAGGGCCGCACAGTGCTGCAGAAGGTGGTGGGGCACCCGAGCTGCATGTTCCTGTACGGCCCCCCAGACCCAGCTGTCCGGGCCACAGACCCCCAGCAGGTAGCATTCCCCAGCCCTGCTGAGCTCCCCGACCAGAAGCAGCTGCGCTACACGGAGGAACTGCTGAGGCACGTGGCCCCTGGGCTGCAGCTGGAGCTTCGGGGGCCACAGCTGTGGGCCCGGCGCATGGGCAAGTGCAAGGTGTACTGGGAGGTGGGTGGCCCCCCGGGCTCCGCCAGCCCCTCCACCCCAGCCTGCCTGCTGCCTCGGAACTGCGACACCCCCATCTTTGACTTCAGAGTCTTCTTCCAAGGTCAGTGAGGCTCCTGCCTGGGGGGCTGTCTCCAGGGGCCCCTGGGAGCATGTGTCTGCCAGATACTCAGCAGAGCCCCCTTCTCCAGAGCTGGTGGAATTCCGGGCACGGCAGCGCCGCGGCTCCCCCTGCTATACCATCTACCTGGGCTTCGGGCAGGACCTGTCAGCCAGGAGGCCCAAGGAGAAGAGCCTGGTCCTGGTGAAGGTGAGACCAGAGCCTCAGGGCCTGGGGAGGGGGAGGGGAGGCCACACGCTGGGTCACTGACACACGCCCGATGCCCTCCTGGCAGCTGGAGCCCTGGCTGTGCCGAGTGCACCTGGAGGGCACGCAACGTGAGGGTGTGTCTTCCCTGGATAGCAGCAGCCTCAGCCTCTGTCTGTCCAGCACCAACAGCCTCTATGATGACATTGAGTGCTTGCTCATGGAGCTGGAGCAGCCCGTCTAGAGCCCAGTCTAATAAAGAGAACTCCAGCACACACACTGATGTCTTGGCTGGCGGGGAAATGGATGCAGGCTGAACACGGGTGAGGCCCAGGGAGGGAGGGGACCTCCCTGCACACCAACTCACTTCTGTCTTCACCACACACATTACATCCAAGCCTTGTTCAAAGAACAAGGCCCTTGAGAGGTAGGTGGCCACCAAAGCCACTCCCACCAGCTGTGCTGAGGGCAGGGACGACATTTTCCCACACCCGACACCTGTCACCAGCCCTCGGGCTGCCACTGCTGCACCCTGCCTCCAGGAGGCAACTGTGTTGAGTGCAAACTTGAGCAATTATTTACAAGAGCACAACGTAATCGGAAAAGAGAAAGTAAAGAGATTCCTAATTCAGAGGCAGAGGTACACAGCAGCTGCTGGCGGGAGACCACCAGAGATTTATCAAGGACACGCCACCCTACCAGGAGCCCGTCCTGGCCACCAAACGCTTTATCTTCCAAGTATTAAATCAATCAAGAGGTTTCTAAAGAAAATCCATTTTTGATAAATTAGAATGGAAACAGTGTATCTATAATATACATACAAAAGTGTCCAGTTTTCAACTGTGAGCAAGACAGACGCACAGACCAGGTGTCAGCGCAGGAACCTGATGGTGGGCATGCTGGTGCCCCCGTTTCCCACCACTCCCAACAGCTCCCCGGGCAAGGCCCGTGACTGCCTGGCCTCAGCCCTCGGCCCCCTGGGTGGGCGGCTCCTCGCCGGCCTCTGGCTTCTTGTGCCTGCGCATGTGCCTGTACTTATCCACGTACGCCTTCACCAGGTTGGCCACCTTCACGGGGTTGATCTCCCCACTCTTGCTGTGGCAGATCTGGAGAAAGAGGAGCAATCACCAAACGCCCTTTCCCATCCAGATGTTCCGGGCCGGAGCCCAGGGCCGAAGCTGGGGTCCCTCGCCTGCCCTGCTCAGAAGCAGGCCCCGGGTGCGGCACGCAGACAGCGGCAGGGGCCGCCCCACCTGCCCTCCTGGCATGGGAGATCCCCTTCCTGCTCGCTATGCCGCTCACAGGGCCACCGAGGGTTCCACGGTGTCGGGGGGAGCATGGGCTGAGACGTCACCAGGCACCTGCTCACTCTGGGGGTCTTGTTCTCCCACCTGTACGCTGGGCGTGGGCTGGGTAATTTTACATATTGCAAAACACGTCTGCGTGGGCCTCGCAGGCACTGAGGCACCCTTCTTCCTAACCATCTGCCAGGGGCAGCCACAGGCGAACCCACCTGACCCCAGGCCTGCAGGATGTGGCAACACAGCCACCTGCCCTGGCTGGCTGACCTCGGACCTGCATTCACGGTCACCCCAAAGTCCGTGTTGACGAGACAGCAGCGACGGGCTGCCCGTGACCCCGAGCCCCACACACAGGCTCGCGCGCAGCCCACCTTCTGCACGGCCTTGCGCAGGATGTCCTTGTACTCCTCCTTGGTCACCTCCCTCTTCTGGTAGAAGGGCTTGATGGCCAGTTTCACCTCCTCCACAGCACGCTCCTGCATGTGCAGCTTCTTCATGTACTAGAGGGGGACAAATGTGTGACGCGGCCAGGCAGGGGGCCTGGAGTCCCTCTGGCCAGAGGCACTGCGGTTCTGGACACCTTTCCAGTTCCGGAGGCACAGGGACTGGCTTCCACCCCTAAATTCAGCCCCGACAATTTTAGTTTCACAATAAGACAGGAACGCGGGGAAAGTGGGAGGAGGCAGGACTCACCTCCTCCTTCTTGGTTTTCTCTGCAGCCAGCCTGGGAGCCGGGGTCTTCTCCTCTGAGTTGCTGGCTGCAGTGGCTTGACTGGCTGGCTCTGAGGCTGGGGTCAGGGCAGTGGGCACTGGGGCCAGGGTCTGTGCTGCCCCACAGCCCACTAGCGGCAGGCTCCCCTGCAGGATGAACTGGACCGTGGGCTGGCTGACCAGCGCACAGGGTGGGATGCTTGAGGGCTGGGCTGGGGCAGGTGGCAGGCTGGGGCTGTAAACCTGGGAAGGACACCTCTGCTGAGCACCGGGCCCTACGGCTGGCAGCTCTGCCCAGGAGCCGTGAGGCCTCAGCCCCAGCCTCGTGTGGCGTGTGTGGCACGGGTGCCAGGCCACTGCCCACAGCCCACAGCCCTCCAGCCCAGGCACCCACCTGAGAGGGGTCTGTGTCTGGGAACCCAGGCTCCGGAAGCACATGACTAGGAAGGGGCAGCTCGGAGAACGCCTGCCTGACCCCTGTGGGGGCCACGTCCTCCACATCCCAGGCTCCTTCTCGGGGCTTCTGTGGCCTGTGAAACAGTGCCCCTGGGGGCCCGACAGACAGGGAGGTGGGTGCTCTGTGCCCGCCCCTGCCCAGAATGCTGTTTCACGGCTGGAAAAATCCAGAAAAGCGCCAGGAGCAAGGACCACAGAGCAGCCCTCAGATCCACCCCCAGCAGCAAGGGAAGGTTGCGAGGTGCGCCAGCTCCTAGCCACTGATCCCCCACCATGACCTGCTCTGCCCGCCTGCAGGAGACCCCCGCACCCACTATCCCAGTCTTCCCCGGCTCCAGAAGCTCCCTGTGGTGCGCGGGACCCTACTCACTCAGGGTTCCTGTTCTCAACATGGGTTGGATTCACTAGGGGCTCTGTCCTCAGCGGGGGCCGGGGCCCTACTCACGGGGGGCTCTGTCCTCAGCGGGGGCCGGGGCCCTACTCACGGGGGGCTCTGTCCTCAGCGGGGGCCGGGGCCCGGGCCCTACTCACGGGGGGCTCTGTCCTCGGCAGGGGCGCTGCTCTCCGACTCCTGCAGGTTCCAGGTGACCCGCTTCACCAGGGCTCTGGACCGCAGCAGGGGGGTCTGCAAAACCACCTCCTCAGGCCGGGCTGCCTCGTGTGCCCTCCCGCTCACGGAGGGGCCGTCTTCCTTCCCCACAGGCGCCACATCCAGGGCACTGGGCGCCTGAGCCTTCTCAGCCACATCCGGCCTGAGCAGATGTGGCTCCTGGGGGTCCTCTGGCAGGGGTGGGGGCTGTGAAGGGTCTTCATCGTGCATCAGCGACACCTCCCTCTGGATGGCGGCCACGGCCAGGCTGGCTGGGGGCAACGCGGGCTCCGGTGGGAAGTCTCGCTCTGGGGAGGAGTCTGTGCTTTCGGGAGAAGGTGGCGAGCTCATGTCATCGAGCTGGATGAAAACAGCTTCACTTGAGAAATCGTCGAAGACGTGCCCGGCCTCCACGGAGTCGCCATAATCCAGGTCCAGGTCGTCGGGCTCACACTCGGCTGCCACCTCCAGGACAGGGGGGGCCTGCAGGGGGGCCTTGTCTGCCGTAGCCACCTCCACTGAGACATGTGCTTCCCCCAAGGCTGGCGACCTGGTGGGGAGGTCTTCCTGCCCTGGCTCCCCCTGTGCAAGGGGTGCTGGGGAAGCGTCCCTCACAGGCCCCTTCCTCTCTGGGGAATGGGACCGGGGCCTCGGCCGCTTCTCACGGGACCGTGGCCGCCTGTGCTCCCGCGCCCTGCGCTCCAAGCTTGGGGACCGGGACCTCCGCTTCCTCCGGTCTCGGGGCCATGCCACGCTCTCCTTCCTGTCTGGCCGTTCGTGGCTGCGTTCCCGCTGGTGCTTGTGCCTGTGGAGCCTCTCCAGGCTGCTGGTGGGGGAGCACTCCCTTCCCCGAGGCCTGGGCGGCGATCTCCTTTTCTTCTTCTTCCTGCTCTCATAGGGCTCGTAGGAAGAACTGCCGGGGCTCCCCGAGCGCGACCGGGACGTCCTCCGGCTGTGGCCCCAGGGGCCCCGCCTGTGCTCCCTGCTCCTGTCCTTGGCTTTCTTCCTCTTAGCTCGTTCTCGGCTGCTGGAGCGGTCGCTGGAGGACCGCCGGCTCTTGGCCTTGGACCGCTGCCTCCTGGGGCGCTCCTCACCCACTGATGGTGACGCTGACCTCGAGCTCCTGTCCCTGGATTCAGAGCGCGTCCCAGAGCGCGTCCGTCGGTGCTCCCTGGCCACCCTCTTCCTCTTGGCCTTCTTCCTGCCGCGGGAGCTGGATGTGGAGCGGGACCGGGAAGGGGGCCTGAGCTCCACCACTCTGTGGGTGGCCGCCTGCGGCATGTCCGGGCTGGGCGGGGCTTCTGGCTGCACGACAGTCACACAGGTCACCGTCCGCTCCTCAGAGCCAAAGAAGGTGCTGCAAGACGCCCCATCCTCCTCGTCCCAGGGCTCCGGCGGGGATGGCCTCCGCACCCGGGCAGCCAGGCCCTGGCTCTCCGCAGGCTCCTCTCGCTCCGTGTCAGAGGCCCCCCGGAGCTGGGACACAGTAGAGGATGGCCCACGAGGGGGCTCAGGCTCTGTCCCAAAGATGCTCTCCACTGTGTAGGAGGTGACGCAGCGCACAGCCTGAACCGTCTGGGCCTTTGGGCTTTTGATGGAGATGGTTCGTGTGATCTCAGAGGGCAGGAGGCCAGGGCCAGACCTCTCGGGGCTGCTGCTCGGGGCGCTAGAGTCGGAGCCGGTGGGGTCAGACGGGTCGTAGACCTCACTCCGCAGCGGCTTCGTCTTCTTGATGGAGAAGAGAGGCGAGGGGTTCTCCTTCCTCTGCTCCTTGCTGTCCACGGGCCGGAACGTGTTACAGAAGCCGGGGCTGGAGAGCTGGCTGGAATGGGCCATGTTTCCAGGAATATTGATCCGGAAGCTCTCAAAGGTCGACCCAACCCCTTTCCCTCTTGATGGTCCCAGCGGGGCCATACTGCCATGGGAGCTGGGGGCTGGGGGCCGGGAGCTGCCTGTGTGCGTGCCGGGCTCCCGGGGGACCCTGCTGCTGGCCTCGCTCTCTGCCCGCGTGCCTCGCCCTGGCTGCCCGGCGCCCTCCCTGCCAGTCAGCCGGCTGATGCAGGCGCTGGGGATCTCGATGTTCTGCCCGTGGGCTGGGGCCGCGCCCCATCTGCCGCCAGCGTCCTCTCTCCTGATCTTTGGTATCCTGGGCAGCTCCGAGATGTCTGTTCTTTTGGGCGTGGGTTTCAGGGGAGGCCCTGGCACCGCACGGCGACACGGGG